TGTTATAAAAATTTAAACCTTAGATTAAATATATAGATTTATATTGTTTTTTTAAAAAACCAAAGCATTTATTAATTATATAATGTCATTTACAATCAAATAATGAATAAAAGAATGCTCTGAGTAGGTGTAAATGCTTTGAATTCAGCAAGTTAACTTGGCGATGCTATGAACAACCTTGTTTGATGATCTAATGCGAGTGAAGTTATACAGAGTAAACGGAGAGACCGCACTTTTGCTGTCTTTAAGCAATCGCTCTCAACAATAATGTGTGTTAAGAGTATAAAAAAAGCAAAAGCATCCGTTTTTTAATTTCAGCATAAACTAATAGCTATAGATAAAGATTTAAAATATGGATATGTCGATAGAGGCATATTTGGCAGTATCGATTGTTTTTTTTTTTTTTTAATCCAGTTCAAATGAGTCGATTTATTAAGGTCCGTTCACTCCTTGAACCGGTCAAAACCCCGATACAAAACTGGTCTCCCTTACTATTTTCTAATGATGACACTTGCACTTGCCTTCTCCAAAGATGCTGACCAGTTAGTTGGACTGTCTTCATGCTGAACCGCCGGCAGTCAGTGGGTGTATTCCAATGTGCAAGAGTATTTTCAAGATATGTGCATTATTAGTTGTAGCATAATTACGTCCCATGGCTTTATTATTTTTTTTTTCTGTCCTCAAAGACCAGTTTACACCACCATTTTCAGTCATGACATAGCACAATTGCACACTTAAGCAACATGAAGGTACCTTCCCCTTCCATTTTAATTAAACCAATGTACCACCCATTCTTGGGGAACCATTTAGGCTATGTTTGGTATTATAGGTGTTTATTGAGAAAACGTTGGCACATCAGTGTTACATAGGTGTTGTGGTTTATTGCATTTGAAACCACTATCTGATTTCTTAGTTATTAAATATATACTAAAACACTGAAATGCTTTGACTTATGTGCATGTAGTATTTGGGGAAATGTTAAATTCTTGTTTTTCCCAATGTCTGGGTGGTTCTTGAAATAAAATGCTGATGTATACTTTAAGCTGAGCTCAAAAACAATTTTATAGGGTGTTATTTGAAATGCCCAACTAAAAAAAAAAACACCTATCTTATGAACACTCCCTCAATAAACGTCCATAGAACCAAACACGTACTTAAGCAGCATCATAAGAACATGTGAATTCTCAGTGAAATATGTTCGACACAAGCCATTGACAACCATCTGTTGACGTGAAGAAGATTCCAGCTCTTGCTGTACATAAAACTTTATAAGCAGAATAACAATAAAAAGGTACCTTAATTCGTTTTCATCCAAAAGAGGGAATCACGAATTCATGAGCATTATTCGGCTGGCATAGTAGTCAAATAGACAATAAAATACTCATGCATGGTGTCCACTAGTTGTAAACGATTCAACACTCCAGTACATGGTTTTTGAACTATCGTTGATTTGGATGATTGGATCCTTCAACCCAAAAACCATTCAAGCAATCAGTTCTGTTCACCTTTGACTCAGTTTTTTGCCAAAAGTTATTAGTGACCCGCTGACCTAAACAGTTAAATTATTAATCCATTCAATTTAGACAATAGTTTTTTTATCATTTTTTTGTTTTAATTTTTTTTATTTTTTAAATTACAATGAACTGTTTATTCAGATCGAATGGTCAAACTGTTAATCTAAAAACCAATGGCCAAAGCAATTCTAATTCCGAATTGGATTTTAAAACATTGTTCGCGTATGGATCCATAGAGGATCCCGAACCAACGCTGGAATCCAAGGATTAGAGGTGGTACCCAGTAGAGATATATTTATGACGTAATAACTTGGTCCAAGGCTTATCTCTCTCCTTTCTGAAACACCAACGGAGATTGATTAGAAGGGACTTGTTTTTGAAATGAATGTCTTTAAATCCCAAAAAATCTCTTTTAGATAAATGTAATGCTACTTCCCATCACTCTAGCACCACAAAAAATTCCTGCAAATGGGCACTCACAGAGTATGCTCCACACGCATCCCACAGCACATTTCAAAATTGTAATTGGCACACCTCTCCATAACAAGTATGGGTGATGTTTGTCTATAACAAATATGGGGTGATGTTCCCAATGCATATGGAGTGTGCCCTATAGAGTGTCATGGCACAAGGTTTTAGGAAACAAAGCAATAGCCATAAAGTAGGTAGGTATATTGGAACTCAAGGTAGATTTAATTAATTCTGACTTGTCCACATGAGACCAGAACTTTGCTTTCCATCCTTGTAGTTTGTGATTCCATTTATCTAGGATGAAGGGAAAATCCTGTTTCTTGGGCTTATATGAGCTTAAGGGACAACCAATATATATTCCATTTGCTTTTATCAAATTAACTGTGAGAAATGATGCCATTCTCCTCCTGTATGTGTGTGTTCTTATGAATCAAATACAAGTAGTTAACCATTTGCCCGGCCAAAAAAATTTGAGAACGGTTACGTTCTTGGTGAATATAATTCACATTGTAGAAGTAATTGTCTCCATATTACTCGAGGAAATGGGTGTACAAGATGAAAAGAGAGAGAGGATGACAAAGGGCACCCTTGTCGAAGTCATGGGATAGAACAATAGCATGCTCCCCATTAAAAATGATTCGGTAATGGTCGGAGGCAATACATGAGTGAACAAGATCATAAAAGGAACCGGAGAGAAACCTTTGTTGAGTTCAACAGTATGAGTAAGAAACCCCCACTTTACTTTTATCATACGCCTTTGCTAATTCAAGGCTTCAAGCCTCAATATAAAACAATCATGATGCCCTTTAGGCTGTGTTTGGAAACAATGCAAATAAGTGTGAACGCAAGTATGTAGAGTGTAAAACAGTTCATATAAATTGTAAAATTGGGTTAGTTTTGCACTGATAAATTTATCTTCTTACCAAACAGACTTTAAATCATATGCTTTTTTTTATCAAAAGCCCACTTAAATTCAAATTTATGTAAACTTACTTCTTTTTTATTGATGTACTTTTACATCTTATTATCAACGTAAATATGCATTGGCCTGTCATTTATCAATTCATAAATATAACGTTGCCAAACACAGGAAAAAGTGAACCAGAATGCAAATTCACCATAAATAGGAAAGGCAACGGGGCGGGTTCGGGGCAGAGATCATATTCCCCGTCCTCGATCCCCGCCAGGGATAAAATTTGTTCTCCATCCCCAATCCTTGACGGGGATGGGTTCCCCGCGGGGACCCGAATCCCTGAAATTTTTTTAGACAACAGTATTTATTTAAAAAATAAATTTACTTAAAATAAATAAAAATTTTTAATTATAAATAATTTTTTAAATATGTTTTGATTTATATATATAATATATATAAATAATATAATAATATATATACATAATCAAGGTCGGGGTGGGGCAGGGACCTCAATCCCCATCTCCGACTCCAACCTCGATTTAGGGATTCCTATTAATCCCCGTCCCCGTCCCCGCCCCGCCAAAATAATCCCCATCGGGTCGAGGAAGTTAGGTCCCCGCTGGGGATGGGAAAATTGCCATCCCTAACACTGAACCACGATTTATACTCCATTTGCATCGTTTTCAAACACAGCCTCAGCTTTGTGCATGGAATGCATGACCTCAAAGGCAATAACAGGTTGTCTATGATTTGATGCCTGGTATAAAGGCATTTCATAAAGGGGTGACTACATAATTCATCCAAAAATGGCCGTTACAAGGAGATAATTTTTTGCAATCGTTTGAAAGGAGTACAAATACAAATTTGAGAGTGCAAAACTTTGTATTTTGTATTGTTTTGTATATATTTGTACCATACATATTTATATTTGTATTCTTTTCAAACTAAGCCTAAGAGACATTTGGTAGTCCAATTGAACATAAATCAGCCATAGTTTCTTTCATTTTCTTTTTTGGGATCAAGACAATGCCCATAGTATTCATCGTTTTAATTAGTGAATGGGTACAGAAGGTATATATACTGCACAAATTCTATGAGAGTTTGCCATAGATATCCTCTCAACATTTCTGAAGGAACATTGAATGCATTCCATCAGGACTGGACGCCTTTGTATGGACCAATAGAAAATAATGCTCCCTTAAATTTTATGTGCAGATGAGATGATAGAGTAATGAATAATTTTGCTCTGGTATAATAGAGAGAAGCACTAAATCATCATGGGGAATACCTGAAAAGTCTAGAGATGATGAGGTGAATAGACATGAGAAAAAGAGCGGATCTCCTCACTCGAATTATACTTCCAGTCTCCATTAATCCGAATTCAAAATAATTGGATTAGGTTTCAATCTTTAAGAGTCCATTGACAGCCCTATTCAGAGTCAGAAAGCAGGTTAACACCTGCAACATCTGTCATGTTAGAAGGGGTTCTAATAGACTTGATGACCAATTTATTAATGACGGTTACCATTTGAAGGAGGTAGTTACATACATGCAATTCAGTGCCTTCTCCTACATCTAATTAGTGCTTTTATCAACTGTTCTTACCAAGTAGACCACACTTTACTTAGAAACACATTTACAAGTTTAGTTGTCACTGCATTAAAGAGGAAAGATTTTCTCATTTATAAAGTCTCAACTCTGGTAGCCAAAAAATAGAATATAACTGAATCCCCCCTCAGTTAGAAGATTGGTGGAACAATTCAAGAATGGACCTTTCCTCATACCCTCCTCCCTATCGTCAGCCCATCCACCAAAACAAGACCAGAGACCCTAGTCAATCCCTTCATCAACCGACTGCAGACTCGGATCTTCTCCTCCCTCAAATTGATTTCCATCACTTAGACCCGAAGGAGCTTGCAGAAGCTTGTCGAGATTGGGGCATGTTTCGTTTGGTCAACCATGGAGTCCCTACTGACCTCTCAAACCGGCTGAGAGACCAAATAAAGCAACTGTTCTCTCTCCCCTTTGAGTCTAAAGAAGCCAATTGGAAAGGCCCAATAGCCTACTTCTGGGATAACCCCGCTGCCCTTACCCCGAATGGGATGGTTATGAAGAGAAGCTTACCAAATCTCAATTGGGTGGAAGGGTTCTCCGTGCGCTTGAGTCAATTACCACAGCTTCAAGGGGATGATGATCATGATCCCATGTTAAAATCTTTCAGGTATGAATCTATTTTCTTGTATACTTTTCATTTTTTAATCCCCTTTGCTCTTTGTCTATGAGCAAACTAGCTAGAAGTTGATGATCATCTGCTTTTCCATGAAATCTTTCATATTAATTTTGTTTTCAAGTGTTTTGTATAGTGGTTTTACTACCAAGTGATGGACTCCAGCATTGCATGCATGCTACTATTGTTTTAAAAATAATAATAGTAATAAGAATGAAAACAAGAACAATTTACTACTATTCTTCCTTTTCTATTATTATTATTATTATTAGTAGTAGTAGTAGTAGTAGTAGAAGTAGTAGTATTATCACATATGGTTCAGGAGGTTGGATCCTTAGCTCAAAGGCATCACTCTTGAATGAATCAGATTTGCTACATGTTGATATTTGCAACCCTAATGACCCTAATCCAATCATCAACCCAACTCAACCCTTTTTCGGTTTTTCTTTTTTATTGTCATATTGGGTTAGTCTGGTGCCATGCATGTATGAACATATACACAAAAAGGTAGAAAGATGAAAAACCATTTAGAGTTAGGTGGAGTTTGATAAATCTGAAGTCTATTGTCTAAAAAGAAAGCTATTATTCGGATCTAAAATCTAAAACGAAGTAGAAATGATTTTTTGTTTTTCAGAGGTTTTGAAAGGATAAGATCATTTGAGTTGGAGCAATTCTTTAACATTTGAAGTTGTGAAGTTTACTATTTTACCATTAGAAATAAGCTATTTGATAACATTATAAATAATAAAAAGAATATTAAATAAAAATAGTAGTATTCTATTAATAAATAAATATTATGATTTTTTGAATTAAATAATTATTTATTATTTCATTAATAATAATATTTATTTATTATTATCATCTAATCAAAAAGAAAAAACATTTAATTATTACTAATAAACATATTATTAATGATTCTTATTACTATATAAATATTATTATTTATTAAAATTAAAATGATATCATTTATAATCTTATAATTATTATTATTTAATATTAATATATTTATTATTATTGAATAATAATAATATTAGTTTTATTTCTGTTATTGTTAAATAAATAATATTACTAATGTTATTATTTATTTGGATAAATACTATTGATTATTATTATTACTAAATAATATGAAATAAGTTATTATTATTGTTATCATTATTAATAAACATATTATTATTTCATACTAATTATATTATTATTATTAAATAAATATTTTTACTAACCATTATTATTTATTCAAAATAATAGTATTATTTATTATTTAATTAATAATGAATGTTTGGTAATTCTATTTATTATATAATATTTTCTAATATTGTGAAATAATATTCAATATTATTATTATTATTATTATTATTATTATTGTTGTTGTTGTTGTTGTTGTTATTAAATAGATGACACTAATGAGGCATTAATGTCATCATGAAACTAAGTCTTACCAATTCAAATCTGAATTTGTGTTTCGGATCCTCTAAATAGACCTAAACCCAAACATTAGTGGCATCTAAAAAGCAAAATTTTCAGACCATGGACATTTAAAAAATGTTATTAAATGCTACCTTAATTTTTTATGAACTTGTTCAAATGCCTTTAACTTGGTGATTAGTTTTATGAGTTCAACTATAATATGGAAAAGATATAATATCCAAAAAACAACTGACCAATAAACTAGAATCATAAACGTGATAGCAAATAAAGTGTCATTTATCAAAATTCATGAGCAGATTTTGATTGATCAAAACTCTTTCTATATCATATCTTTTCCGCATAATATCCATTATCATGTGTTATGATACATGTTTACAAGAATAATTAATTAAGTACCAATCTTCGATGTTTAATAAAGATATATGGCTTCATTTATATTTGGCTTGTTTGACAAGGTGCCTACTTGAGGAATATGGACGACACATGGCTCGACTAGCTCATACATTATTCGATGTTCTTATTACAAACCTCGGCATGGATCCAGCGTTGTGTGCACCTTACTTATCAGAATCTACAGGGTATTTGCGATTATACCGCTACCCACCTTACCCTGATCCCGACCAAGTATCCGGCTTGGAAGCTCATACCGATAGCTCAGTTCTCTCTATACTGAACGAGAATGTGGTGGGAGGTCTGCAAGTCTTCAAAGATGAAAGATGGATTGATATCAAACCAGTCTCCGATACACTTGTCGTCAACATGGGCGACATGATGCAGGTATGCCATTGCTAACACTTGAATATTTAGGAGAATACTAGAATATTTAATCGTACATAGTGATCTATTCAACTTCAGTTTCAGTTATTAAGACTCAGTTTGGAAGCAGCACAAAAATAAACAGAGTACAAAATTTTATATTTTGTATTATTTTGTATATACTTACATCGTACATATTTGTATTTATACTCCTTCCAAACTGAGCCTCTCACAATCCCATTAAAAACTTATCCACTGACAAAGTAATAAATTTTTTAGTCTCAATTGTCATCGAATGGACCCTTAGATCTCTTATATATAATAGTGGGACAGTGATTGCATCTCCCGTGGGTTACCCACCGAGAGATTTTTGCCCCTGTTAAAAAGGAAGGAATGGTCTCTTAGTAGATAACAAGGAAGGCCATATATCTCATGATTTCAAAATTTAATTTTTTTTTTAATAATATAGAGTGACAATGCATGAGCATCTATTGTGAAAATATCATTCCCTCCTTTTTAATAGGAGCACAAATAAGATTCCAATTTTATAGCCGCGTGGCATAATAGAACTTCATAATTTGGGAGGTAACCTTGGCTCCTATACTACAAGTTGGCATTTTCAATTTTTCACCATAGAGGTCAAAATAAATGTTTTTGAACTGTCATTGACCCAGAGGCTCGGAAACCATCCAAACAACCGGTTCGTTTCACCCCTAACCCGTTTTTGGGTAAAAAACCGTTAAATTTGTCAGAAAACCGCTGACCTAGGTAGTCGAACCGTCGACTCATTTGACCCGGTCAGCAGTTCACAATATAAAGCTGCAGAGAGGAGAACTCATATCTAAGATCCAGTTTGGGACATGAACTCAGATCTGGGATCTAGCACAAAGAGAAGAAGAAGAAGAAGAAGAAGAAGAAGAAGAAGAAGAAGAAGAAGAAGACTACAGGTGCTTTAGAGAAATCGATCTCAGATTTGAGATCCGAGAACTCTAAGATCCAAGAACTCAGATCTCAGATCTGCATCTGTTGCCACCGCCTCGCTATCACTGTCGCCACCGCCGGTGAGCATCGAATCCTCCTCCTCCTCCTCCTCCTCCTCCTCCTCCTCCTCCTTCTTCTTCCCTCCTTCCCTCCTCTCCTTCTTTCTTTTTTTCTTTCTCAGCCTCTAGCTTTCTCAGCCGACATCTCTTTTTTCTTTCTCCTTTCTCAAATGAATCAAATCTCATATAAATTTGCCCTAATATGCACAACGTCCAAACTATTTGACCCGACCGGTTGAACTGCTGACCCGGAAACCGGCAGCTAGAATGGTTCGGTTTCTGGGTCGGTTTTTAAAACCTTGGTTAAAACTTAAAACCACCTCATCCATAAAAAAAAATTTACAAAAGAAGGAAGTGTGGCCTTATCATCAACCATTAGAGCAAGCAGAAGTTTTTTTTTCTCATCCTCTAAATAGACCATTTGTAAAATTCATCTTGCCAAAACCAACCCTTCATTAGTTAAATTTGGAGTTCTCCTCCCACTTTCTCAGCGTGACAAAAGGTTGAAGTGTTGAACATTTATGAGGAGGGGATAGAACCCATTTATTAAATAGTTAATAAATACATTAGAAATGATTAAAATGCTAAATTCAAATTCGATTTCAAACAAACAGATAACATATACAGCCCGAGGTGACTTCATATTTGCTTGTATAGAAAATTTGATAAATCCCATCTCTCCTCTATAATCAAAAGCTTATATTTCATATTTATAATCTAACAATATGCAGGCTATCAGCAATGACGAATATAAGAGCGTCCTACATAGAGTGCTTGCATTAAAAAGGGAGGAAAGGTTCTCAATATGTTATTTTGTGTACCCACCGGGAGATTTGATGATTCAGAGCACAAACTACAGGCCCTTCACTTACAATATGTATATGGACCAAGTGCGAGAAGACCGAGAGACCATTGGCGGAAAGGTCGGGCTCCCCCGTTTCATGCTCTCTGAGCCTCTCAATTAAACTCTTTCAGGCCCCTACCTGTCTGGTCTTTGGGTGACTTAGATTCTATAAAGAAATTTTAAAAGTTCATGTCTTTGTTATCTTTTGAGCACTAAACCTAAAATCTTGAACAATCAAAATGTGTTGAATAAGTTTCAAGAGAAATAATTCTAGATATCAACTAGTTTAGACCTTGTTGGGGGGCAAGACTGTTGGGTTTTGAAGCTTTTCTTGTTCATTGTTTGCGTTTGTGGCTTTGTAGTCCAATTTCATAAAAGAAATAAAAGAAAATAGATATAGCTAGATAACGTATATACATTATTATGATATACTACTTTATTTTACTCGGATTATTTAGCTGTGCTTGGCATACTTAAAGAGGATTAATTCTGATGAATTTTGTGATTCTAAGAATCATTTTTAATTTTGAGTTTATAAAAATTGTTGGAGCTGACTTATAGAAAATCACTCATTATCATTGATAAATTTATTTATTGTTTATGTGATATGGCCGAGTCATCTGTATTGACTTTTGTCATCTAATATTGTTTAAGAAAGTTGTTATTTACTTCGAAACAAATGGGGCAGAAGATGATATCAAAGGAAGGGAATACAAGGTTATTTAAGAGAGTAAAGTAGATAAATTGGGGAGTGAGGAGAGTAGGCGACAGACACATCCAACCCCGAAAGTATATAGACCTACCCATCTATGTTTTGTCCCAAGCTTAAGGCCTTGATCAGGAAGGATGTGTGGCACATACTATAGAAAGACATGGAAAGCATCCCCCATGACAATGAAGGGATTTAAGAGAGTAGAGAGAAATGCCAAAACAAAAGCATCACCTAGAAAGGCAGGTTGAAAACCTAAAAGGGAGGGTTAAAAACTTGAAAGGTCACCCTGAGTAAAATCATTGTCACAGTCAAATGCTATTAGGAAATTGCTGCTGCGTGATCCGGGCACTCCTATCTGGCAGAAACCTGGCTCCTAACTATAACGGACGGTACCTGAGATGAAGAGGAAGGTGAAGAATTCCTGGGGAGCTCGCCCGGCAGGAACACTCCGATGCTTAAGTTAGAACTCTGAGAGGATTAAAGAGAATACAGAGAGAGAGAGCTAAGAGTGCAGATAGCGCAAGCTCAGTACCTTGGCGCCTTGGAGGTCGGGGTCTTTTTATATTGGAGATCTCTCAAATCAGGTGTAACCACCTTTGCCACAGCCGTTACTGCCAGAACCGAGGTAGCGGATGCAGGCAATTGTTGCAAGGTACAGACCTATCAGGCGTGCCACATCTGGTAGAAGTGGTAGGCACGACGCCGCCTGACAAGAGACGTGGGCGCAGCCCCCAGATTCAGCAGGTACTAGCTACCTTACGCCAAGCTACCTTACGCCGGGGTGCCACATCTTCCGAGCTACTTTGCACCGAGCTGCCTTGGTCTGAGCTACCTTATGCCGGGGTGCCGGGGTTATGCCGAGGTGCTTATGCTTGAGGTGAGCCTTAGGCAAGTATGGGCAGGAGTGTCAATAGGGCTGACCCGAAGTGTTTCCACATCGGGATACTTATCCGTAGGTTGGGGTGTACCCTTAAGAGCTCGGGGCCCACTGGAAGGAGCTCGGGTCTTGAAAGGAGCTCGGGAGTCCTCACTTGGAGGGATCTCGGGGCGCTCCCTTAGGGAGAATTCGGGGTAAGCTAGATGTTACTTCTCAGTGAGTTGCCACGTCCATCGAGTTGTCTCGCCGGGCTCCGGTGTGTTCATCACGCCGAGTTATGGCCAGGCTGCCACACTGAGTTGTCATTTATGCCAGTTTGTACCCACGTGTCCCCGTGCTACGAGGTCGGGCCAAATCACCCTCCATCAATTGCCCCCCACTCCCTGTGTTGGGGGTTCTGACCCAGTGCGGGGAGTCCGCGGTGTGCCGGGTGGATTTGGCTCAGAGCTCAGGCCTTCTTGTCAGGCGGCTTATTGAAGACTAGTTCACTGCTCAGCTCAATTAAGGGAAACCTGGGTCGCGTACTGTCTACCTGCGGACGTCACGCGATCTATGGACTCCACAGACGTCAAAAAATTCGCTAAACCAATTTCGCTTCGGGGTCGCATAGCCGGTTTTCTTGAGAGCTGTCAGATCGTCTTGATCTTGACCGTTGATGCTCGTGTATAGTGGCTATAAATAGCGGGGGTCCTGGTCATTTTTTCTTCGCCATAATTTCTCAGCATTCGTCTTGAGCTCGCGTCCAAGGCCTCCAGCTCGGGTCAATTCTCCCCAGTTCGGTTGTTTTTCCTTGGTGAGTCACGTTAGCTTTTCTTTCAGTTTGCTTATTCCTTCCAGCTCGTTTTCATTTATTTCATGTCTAGTTTCGATAGTCAGTTGGACGAGCCCGAGGTGGGTACCTCGGCTCAGGGTGACCCCACTGAAGTCCAGTCTCACGAGGCGCAAGAGGCCTCGTGTAATCTGGTGTTCACCTCTCACCGAGGTCGAATGCCGGATAGGTTCGGTCCTTCCACTATGACCCTAGAGAGGCTCTGATACCTCATCCAGCAATACAATTTGCCTAGGGAGTACACCTACAGTCTACCTGCGGGTAACTTCCCATGGGAGCACTATCCTGATGAGATCGTGATCTTCCGGGAGCAGCTCATAGTCGGGCTCCGTCTTCCTTTCCACCCTCTTCTCATAGAGGTTCTGAACCACTTCAACGTCACAATAGACCAGCTTCACTTGAACTCCATTTGTAATGTGGTTGAGACCATTTCTCTTTGCTTCGAGTACGTCCTCCCTTTGAACTTAGACATTTTTTGCTCGATCCTCTCAATAAAGAAGAGCGCTTCAAGCGATCTCCCTGAGCATAGGCGGGCTTACTACTTGTCCCCTCACCAGGGTTTCAAGTTACTACACAAGCTTCCTAGCAAAATCCCGGCCTGGAAGCAGGACTACTTTGTAGTCCAGAGCACCGCAGGGTGGCCCTTCCCCACTCATTGGAGGGCAGCTGTTCAAGACCCCGGCATTATCCTGGACAAGACGACAAGGGAGACACTCCAGTCATGGGCTGAGCTCAGGTTTAATTACAAGGATTATATCGCCGAGAGCAAGCTCATACAAGCTGGCTTGAGTCCGGGTAGGTCGTCTTACCTAGAGTTGAAACATTTTACCTCTGTGGTTTGTACCTTTGAGTTGCTGACGCCGGACTTTATTGCAGGACACATGGAAAAAGAGAAGCTTAAGGGAGAGAGGCACTTCAGCCATATGAAGGGGAGGAAGAAGCAAGCTACCAAGAGAGCTCGTGTCGAGTCCCCACAGGCTTAAGGGAGAAAGGCTCTTCCGCAAGCTCCTACTTCTGAGCCTGAGCTCCTAGATGTACATCCGATCATCTGGGCCCCACTCCAGCCTCCTCCACAAGAGTAACTGTGTGGAACCCTAGCTGTCTAAGGCTCATCTAAATCTGGCTTTATGAAAGTTAGTGGTAGCCACTTTGGTTTGACCTAAATTAAACTAGGGCATAATATTTCGTTCCCTCCACTGAAATATGAGTGCATGTGATAGGGAGATTCATATGATAAACTCTCTAAAGGCCTTCCATCATTAACATGAAGATGGGTCCTTCAGTAATGAGGAAACACACCACAAAATTGGGTTATCCATTTGTTGTTGGATCTGTTGGATTGTTTCATAAGGTGATAGGGGCGTCATAGACCGATGTGGGAGAGGTCTATCCTAAAATGGAAGACTCTCTCACGGTACCTTGGCGTTCACAAATATGATGGGTGAGCACTCACTAGACAGAAAGGTTTAACCTAAAATGGCAATGAACCTTGTCTGACAAAGGCCAAAGGGAAAGCTCATAAGATGAGTGGATATGATCCTTCACAAAAAGGTGGTGGGGTTATGCAGCTGAAACAATTGGCTTCATGCACCCTATGTGATTTCCCACATTTCTATAGACATAATTCGCAGTCTCCGTCACTGAGATAGGAGGGAAATCTCATAGATGAATAAATGGAAGTGAAACATAGATTGAAAGCCATATCTATGTAGATAATATGAATCAAATAAGGTTGTGGACTAATATTTGCTTTGCCCTTTATCAGAAATGGCAAACGGTCAATTCGCTAAACTATTGGACGACAACAAGCTTAAGGGCCCAAATTATGCTAATTAGTTCCGTAACCTTATGATGGTCCTAATGTTCGAGAAATTGGACAAAATTGCTAAAAACCCTGCTCCGAATCGTCCGGGTGACAGGGCTTCTAAGGCCAGACGAAAAGAGTATCAAGAATGGGAGGAGAAAAATTCTCTTGCCCGGTGTTATATTATAGCCTCTTTGGATAATCCGATACAGCGACAATTCAATAATCGAAGTGTCCAAGGACATATTGGATAGTCTAAATACTATGTATGAGGAGCAAAACCGTTCTACTCGTTAGAAGGTCTTAAAGTTGTTTATGACCGCACAGATGACCGAGAACCAACAGGTTCATGACCATTGTCTAAAGATGATAGGTTATATTAATGAACTGGAGGCTTTTGGGTCAGGGCTAGACCATGACACTAAAATTGATGTTATCCTCAATTCCATGCCTCCCTCCTTCAATCAATTTACCATGAACTATAACATGAATAAGCTAAATGTTAGCCTTCAGGAACTCAGCAATATGTTGCAGAGGGTTGAAGGTGGCAAATCGGGCAAGAGAAGGCGGAAGGCTAAAGGGAAGGCTCAGAAGAAAAATAGCAAAGTTAAGAAACAAATGAAAGATAAGGCGTTGGATGCCTGTCACTTCTACAAACAGGTCGGCCACTGGAAGAGAAACTGTCCTCAATTTCTGAAGACTAAGAAGAAAGGTAATTTTGAATCTTTTATTATAGAGACCAATTTGTTGGTCACTTCTATTTCCTGGTGTATTGAATCCAGGAATTTAACTCATGCGTGTAACTCACTGTAGGGGTTCAAGATAAGCAAAAGACTGAGTGATGGAGAAGTGACACTCTACTTGGGGACTTTTGCAAAAGTTGCAGTTATAGCCATAGG